CACGACACAAAACCAGCATTCCCAGTGACCAGGTCTGATCTGTTCAGCAGCGGGCAGATTCTGCAGGATGGAACAGTTCTCTGTGAAAGCCCAAGTGAGTTTTAACGATGACAGGTTGATTTTTGCTTCCTGAAAACAAATATAAATTGATGAGACCTTAATGAATTCTTTCTCCCATTCCTGGGGGGGGGGGGTCACATAATGCTTTCATCACACCGGAATAGAAACTGTTGCCACTCCTGATACCATGAAGGCACTGGATTTCCCCTGGTGAAGAACTGCACGTTGCTCAGTGAGAGCACTTTCAGGGCGGCAACGGAAACTGTCTGTTTCCACTTTAGTTGTCAACAACTCCCTCTCCAACCTCTCAGACACCGATCAATCAACAAGGATTTGTTTAAGTGAGCTATCTGCACCGTCCTAAGTGCTCGGTGGGGAGTAAGAGAGCAGAGTCCATAGTCTCTCATTCATTCATTCAGCAAGTATTCATGGAGCACCTACTCTGTTGAAAGCACTATCCAAAGGATTTGTGGAACATCTTTAAACAAAACAGAAAAAAAAAATCTCTGCCCTCTTGAACTTTTATTCTCTTTGGGGAGAGATAAAAACATAAATCTATAATGGAGAGTAAATGATATCATATGTTAGAAAGTTTAATGCTGTGAACAACCAGGATTGAGTGAGGGGATAAGAAATGAGGAGTGACTATGAATATCAATTTAAATAGGTGCTCAGGGTAGGCATCTTGTCAACCTGGGTTGATAAAAACACACGGTCATGGCAGCTGAGATGGAGAAAGCAACTGTGGGTCCAAGAGATTGGGGAGGCCAAGAGACTGTGCAGAGGACATAGTATATTTCTAAAATACCATGCTACACCGGAGCCAGCTGATACGGCTCTCTAGAGCCAATATGCATGTCCCCTCCAAACTCAGTGTTCAGTGTCGTCATGTTAAGTAGCTTGCAATTAATCATGTTGGGAATATCTACAGCACGGAAACTGGCAAACCTACAAATCAGGACGGACCTCTTTTTTTTTTTTTTAAATAAGAGTTGGGTGTTAAACATTTCTTACTTAGCATATCACTGAGTGGACCCCACCTCCAACTACACCTTTAGGAGGGGTGTGATTGTTCCTTTAATAAACACAGAGGGCAATTAAGTGTCCCATTTGTAAAGGGAGATCACTATAACAAAGTGTCTGTGGAAAGCTCTTAGGAAGAGGGTCTCTTGAAGGAGGCGCTGGGTCGAATTTGCACGACAGAGAAGACAGAGTGGATATAAAGGGGTATTGAGCAGGCAAGGTAGAGAGACTGGGGCACGTGGTGTCATAGAAAATCTCCCCAAGAAAACACCAAACTGATATATTTTTTGTTGTTGTTGTTGTTGTTTCTTTTATTATATATATATATTTTTTTTTTTTTTTTTTTTTTTTTGGCCACTGTGTTTAGACGTCGTTTTTCACTCCTCTGCGCTCGTCTGGCTCTGATCTTGTGCACTGTCTATAGCACACTCCTCTCCCTGGCATTGCTGTTTAACTCGCCGGTGCTGATATTTTTTCTCTCTGCAACCAGGTTGAAGCACCCTAACAATGATGTGTGGCAGCTAATGATCGGGTTATGTTTTGGCTTTCTGGCAGATAATTTGCACCAATGCTATACAGTACGATGCTTATTTCCTGAGATCTTATGGGGATAAATGTATCGTGGCAACTTTTCTTGGCCAACAGTACTCATTATTAGAAGGTTTGGTATATCTGTCTAATCAGTGAATAGTAGTCATCAACAACAAGGTCTTGAGTGGAAACTGGTTTTGGGGGTTCCCCCTCCCCCCTTTTTTAACACAGGGCGATGCAGATCGAAGGTCATTATTTTGTGATGTTAGTTTCAGATGGATGGTCATTATCATGGGGCAACTGTGGTTTTTTTGTTTTGTTTTTTTTTTGTTTTGAGACAGAGTCTTGCTTTGTTGCCCAGGCTAGAGTGAGTGCCATGGCGTCAGCCTCGCTCACAGCAACCTCCAACTCCTGGGCTCAAGCGATCCTCCTGCCTCAGCCTCCTGAGTAGCTGGGACTACAGGCATGCGCCACCACGCCCGGCTAATTTTTCTATGTAATTAGTGGCCAATTAATTTCTTCTATTTATAGTAGAGACGGGGTCTCGCTCTTGCTCAGGCTGGTTTTGAACTCCTGACCTCGAGCAATCCGCCCGCCTCGGCCTCCCAGAGAGCTAGGATGACAGGCGTGAGCCACCGCGCCCGGCCTCCAAACTGATATTGAATTCAGTGTCTCACAAGGTGGGACGGGACGCTTTCCAAAATTAAACTAAAATTATCTTGTCTTTCACGCCCCCGCCAAAGTCATGCCTAGCTTTTTGAAATCTCTGCAAACCTTGATGAACATGGTCCACACGTATCTTTAGGAACAGAATGTAGGCTCAGCATCTGTTTTGTTGGAGTTCTCTGAATTTTTCTCCATGGAAACATGAGCTGGTAAATAGAAACTAAAACACTGAATGTCTGGGTTCCTTCCCTGTCCCTGTAACTAACTGCTTTTGCACAGTGACATCAGGCAAGTCAGCTCGATGCCGAATTTCCCCACTTTAGTTTTTTGGGGTTTTTTGGTTTTTTTTTTTTTTTTTTTTTTTAGACAGAGTCTTACTCTGTCGCACCGGCTAGAGTGCCTTGACATCAGCCTAGCTCACAGCAACTCCTGGGCTCAAGCGATCCTCCTGCCTCAGCCTCCCAAGTAGCTGGGACTACAGGCATGCGCCACCATGCCCGGCTAATTGTTTCTATATATATTTTTAGTTGGCCAATTAATTTCTTTCTATTTTTAGTAGAGACAGGGGTCTCGCTCTTGCTCAAGCTGGTCTCAAACTCCTGAGCTCAAACAATCCGCCCGCCTCGGCCTCCCAGAGTGCTAGGTGGAATTTTCGCACTTTAAAATGATCACAGTCTTCACGTTGGCAAATAAAGATGAACAATAGCATCCTGGGGAAGTATCCCAAGCGCTTTTAAGAAAGACATAAGCAATTATATACTTATGAGAAATAGGGTCATATTATTCTTACTCCAAATATGAATACAAACGTCTTCCAAAGGCTCAAAAGGGAGACAAATCTCTATTAATTCTTTCTGCTGTCGAGGAAGCCCCCTCCCCAGACCCGAAAGTGACAAAGGGAATGGCCACGCCAGGCTGGGGCAGGCCCGCCTCCAGCCTCTGGTTGAGAACATGAGGCTCTCTAGTCGTGAGAACATGGGCATGAAGGTGACGCCCCGCTCAGATGCGCGACACCGCGACGCTCGCTCTCTCAGATCTCCTCCCTCCCCAGCGCTGTTCCCTCCTCTGTGACACTCCAACCCTGCGCAAGTCTGCCAGGCTGCTTTGTCCCAGCTTGTACCTGGTCCCTGGCACAACACGGCAGGTCAGTGGCCCTTTAAATTCTTGGTCACCAACATCGAACAGCCAACGAGACCACTCAACAAGGTCACGATGCTTTCTAACGTGACTTTTGTTCCCCTCACCACAAAAGCTGTTTCTTGCCTTCTCCACACCTCCACACTACCCTCAGCTAATAATCTTAGCTCCCCCCTAATCTATAATATAGATGCACCAAGCCAAAGTGTCCTCACCTTCCCGCCACGACATGCACAGACCCACCTGCCACCAAAGCCATCTCCTTTCACTTCTCTTGCAAGGAAGGAGGAGTCGCTTCTACCTCCCAGAACCCGGTTCCTCCAGGGGCGTCTTCACTCTCATATCCCCTCATTTCTTCAGGGACCCCAGACCCTTGCTGATCACCCCTTTCTCTTTAGCCTTCCACCTCTTAATTATTCCTGTGAAGATTCTAAGTTGTACTAGTCACTACTGTCTTTCATATTTAACTTCATTTATTTTTAAAATATTGTGTGTGTGTGTGTGCAACACACCCGTGTGGAAGTGTGTGTGTGCACGCAGGAAGGGGGGGAGGAGTGAAACAAATACCGAAAAATGCTAGAAATTGTTGAATCTGGTATATCAGAGTTTTGTGCCAATCTTGTAACTTTTCTTCGAGTTTGAGGTTATTCCAAAGGTCACTTCCTCAGGGAGGTCTTCTTTAGCTACCAAATCTAAAGTAGTTACCTGCTATTATTTTCTTCTCTAGTAATCTGTTCTTTTCATGTATAGAAGTGACCATGCTGCAGAGTTCTAGACTCACAGCAGCCATCTCAGCTGTGTCCCATCCGTGACTCAGACATGACCACACCTGCCTGAGAGACAGGTGAGCGTGGACCCAGGCCCAGGACTTGGGGGGACGCACGTGATACCCATACCTTGGCCACAACATTTACGGGGACATCAAAAACTCAGAAGTCAAGATAAATAATGTTCTAATATAAAATTTTAAAAAGACAAAAAACCCATGGTGAACAAAATATCACAGTTTTAAATAAAGACAAGATCCAAACCTGTGCCTTCATGACTCTCTTTCTCACTCACCTTGTCCTAATCCTAATGTTTCAATAAAACTTTATTCATAAAACCAGCTGGCTCATAAGCCACAGGCTGCCATTTTTAGTTTATTTAATATCATGTTAAAATATTAATCTCGATGGCTGAGGCTTTGGGGCCCCCTTAAATTTTATCTCACCTTAGTCCCAGCTCTGGGGGGACCCATCTATCAGAAGTGTGTAGGAAATGAGAAGAGCACACGTTTGTTTGCTCGAAGATAATGGGCTGCCCTTGGAGAGGAGGGGCACTTGTGAGCTCCCAAGTGTGTGTCGCTCCGACTGTCGCTGACCTGGTTGATTTAAGCACCCCTCCTTTGCGTCTCCCTAGCACCCTGGCACCCCCACGCTCTCTTTATACTCTGCAAGCTGCAATATTTATAAATTATACCTCATTGAAAGTGTTTACTTATAGGCTGTGCACTTATTAAAGCCAGATTGCATCTTTCATCCTTAAATCTGGAGCCTGAGCTATAGGAGATATAATGAGGCGCCCGAGATTCGGAAACTGACCTTTTTGTGAGTGTGACCGGCTGGTGATCGATGGACTTCCTGCATCCGTTTCACTGAAGGCCCCTCAGTCTGCACAGCTGTCTGTTGTTGGGGGGAGGTAAGACGGGAGGAGATGAACAAATCTGCAGGCATTCAAAGGCCCTTTGGGGAATCAGCAAATGCCCTGAGACCCCAATTCCTTTCTTTTTGAAGTTCAACATTATTAGGAAGTCTCCGATGAAGTAGACGCTGGTAGGAAAATCCCCAGAGGTACGCTGCCGTAGGGAGAAGAATTCTGAACTGTGGCTGGACCTACAGTTCCTGAGGATTGCTGGTTCCGAGGAGTGTGGCTAATGTCGTGAAACACCCCCAGATCCATGCTCCTTGGCAATAGCATCAGGCTTGGGAATAACACCTGAGCATGTACATGTGAATTAAATTCACATGTACAAATAAATTCAAATGTTAATTAAAAATTAAAAGAGCTCTAGGCTTACAGTCCAAAGTCCAGGCACCATGAGCACAGGTGAGAGACCTGGACAAGTAACACCTGTCTCATGTGCTTAATGAATGAGCATCCACGGGAGTGGGTAGGACCGGTTTTCAACAGCAAGTGAGGCTGGGAAGAAGCAGCGTCAGCAGTAGTCTAACTCCACTGCGGTTCTCTCTGCCCGGCAAAACCAGAACCAGCCTGGCATTTTGGGCTGAGCAGGTGTCTGGTGCTCTTAGACACATCAAAGGTGCCTGACTGGGTGCTGTGGCTCACACCTGTAATCCTAGCACTCTGGGAGGCCGAGGCAGGAGGATTGCTTGGGCTCAGGAGTTCGAGACCAGCCTGAGCAAGATGGAGACCCCACCTCTATCAAAAATAGAAAAAATTAGCCAGGCATGGTCGCACTTTCCTGTAGTCCCAGATACTCAGGAGGCTGTGGCAGGAGAGTCACTTGAACCCAGGGGTTTGAGGTTGCAGTGAGCTATGATGACGACACTGCACTCTAGCCCAGGTGACAGAGAGAGACCCTGTATCAAAAAATAAATAAATGGATGCCTCAAAGAAGAGAAGGTGCATTGCCTGCTAAATTGGGCTTGTGGGATCTTGAATGATTAATTGGAAAAATGAAGAGATGCGATCACATTTGCACACCCAACCTGCTGACATAGGTCATGCTAGCGTCAGCAGATATTCGATGAAAGCTTGACACATGGATGCATGTTGTACTCTCTTCTGCCCCAGTGCCTAGGTCCACCTTTTACGCTGGAGGATTTACCAGTTAATTAGAGGAGAAGGGGCTAGCTAATGAGAAGGAGGCAAAGGTAGCTTAGACTGTGATGATATCTACCAGCTACCAGCTTCCCTTAGATTGAAAAAGCTCTTATCTTCTTCATCAGGGACTATATGTTTACATACCATCTTTCCTCAAATCAGCAAATATTTATTGTGCGCTTGTGCAAAGTAAACCTTTGCTCCAAAAGTTTTGCCTGTTGAAGTGTTTAGAATTCACTCTCAGTACTGCTTCATTGCTATGCAGCATGAATCACACACAGCATTTCTCCGCAGTGTCAAGTAAAGAGGCTACAGTAGAATAGAGCCCACATATCTGAATACCTAGATTTTCTTCCTTGTTTAGAAACACAAAGGTCCTTTCATAACCAATGATATTCTTTGTTCCGGAGTTATCTCCAGTCATCCAAAAAATATGCAGTGATCTACGAGTGGCAGATCCAGGTCCTTTGGGGTCGATTATACAATTTGGGAAGTCCACTTTCAGAGACTAAAATACAACTAAAAGTAAATATAGGTATAAAAAATGAATATTTAGTCAAAATGAAAAAATATAGCAGAATGAATAGCGGTTTTTTTTTTTTTTTAGACAGAGTCTCACTTTGTTGCCCAGGCTAGAGTGAGTGCGGTGGCATCAGCCTAGCTCACAGCAACCTCAAACTCCTGGGCTCAAGTGATCCTCCTGCCTCAGCCTCCCTAGTAGCTGGGACTACAGGCATGCGCCACCATGCCCGGCTAATTTTTTCTCTATATATTTTTAGTTGGTCAATTAATTTCTTTCTATTTTTAGTAGATACGAGGTCTCGCTCAGGGTGGTTTTGAACTCCTGACCTCAAGTAATCTGCCCGCCTCGGCCTCCCAGAGTGCTAGGATTACAGGCGTGAGCCACCACACCCGGCCACGAATAGCAGTTTTTTAAAACTAAGTCAATAAAACCTGACCAAAAAAAAAAAAAAAAATCCAGAGAAGATAATACAATATTTTGAGCAATTTGCTGCCCAATATCCCTCTATAATACATCTTTCCTGCATTTTTTCACTGCATTGTCTTTGATCACTCCTTTACAGGACAGCAAGGCAGATGGGACGGACAGCAGTCCTATCCAATTACAGCTCAAATACCTTCATTTTGAGAATTTTGCTGAAGCGTATGCACACGTTGCCCTGCAGCTGAAGCTTCTTTAGCTTGACGGTAGCTCTTCCTCCGTGGTGACATTTCGTTGGCTCCCACCCTTTCCCACATCACGTTTCTCGCCTCAGTTTCCCAGGTCAGGGTGCTCTCTTGTGTCCTCATGTAGAGACTATGTTGCTGCCAACTCGACCCAGAGCTTAGACCTCCGCTTTCCTACACATCCTGGCCCTGGTTCCTGGGATGGGCTCCTGCTTGCTTTCTCCCTGCTGTCTGTCCTACTCTTTTTTTTTTTTTTTAATTTATTTTCTTTTTAGAGACAGAGTCTCACTCTGTCACCCAGGCTGGAGTGCGGTGGCACGGTCATAGCTCACTGCAGCCTTGAACCTTTGGCTTCAAGCCATCCTCCCGCCTCAGCCTCCCAAAGTGCTGGGATGACAGACGTGAGCCACCGCACCCAGCCTATCCTCCTCTTGACAGTCGTTTGTTCCACAGCCAGCATGGTGGTGGGTCCACTTTCTTACAGAAAGCCGCTTGGTCCAGGACCATCACTGCCGCTGCTGGGCTCTGAAGACCAGCTGCCCCCGACTCTCCCCTCACTCGTGCTTGGCTTGCTAGATTAGGACCCAGCCGCTCCCTCTTAGAAATGCTGATTGCTTGAATCTCAGTGGAGCCCATCATGTCCCCTGGGCCTGGTACCTTGGACTCAGTTCCTCAAAGCTGGGTCCTTAGATGTCTCCAACCATAAACTCTGTCTTGGCTTAATTTCTGAACCAGGCACAAGTGATAACGAAGGAAAGATTTAGATAACCTCAATTCCACTCCACTTCCCACCCTAACATAAGTCACCTCTCATTCCTCTCCAACCCCCTGACAACCTGGCTTCCAACATACTTCTGTTCTACTCCTGTAAACCCATTATCTTGAAGGTTCCTACTGTTGACACGTAACAGTCTCTGCAACCCTCATCCTCTTGGATTTTCTGCAGTATCCAAACTATTGACCGCCCCTCCTTTTTCGTTGGTTTTCATACTACCTGCCATCCTCACCTACCTCTCCCTCGCTCCATTTTCTTCCTTAGTTTCTATTACTTCCCCACAGATCTGCCTCTTAGTTCTCATCTTCCTAGTTATCTCCCTTGCTTCAACAATAGCCCCTAAAGCTGGCCCCTAAATCTACCTCCCTGGCTCTGGCCTTTCTTCCAGTCTCCAGCCTGTATTCCCGACAGACCACATGCAGGTCCCACCAGGCTTCCAACTCCTCACACCGAAGCTGAGCACCTCCTAATCTTCCCCTAGCAAATGCTCTTCTTCCGGTGCCCCTGTCTTAGTCTGTTTTGTGTTGCTATAAAAGAATGCTGGAGACTGGGTCATTGATATAAAAAAAAAACAAACAGGCTTATTTAGCTCACAGTTCTGCAGGCTCAAAAGTTCAAGGGCGTGGCCCTGGCTCCTGGCTAAGGCTTTTTGTGCTACATCACAATGTGGTGGGGGTAAGAGAGGGAGCAGCCCCAGGCAAAGAGAGGACAACCTTGGGACGCCAGGGCTGTATGACAACCCACTCTCACAACAACCAATCTATTCCCAAGAGAAATAATCCAGTCTCCCGAGAGAGAGAACTCACGTACCACCCCAGAACTGCAGCAGGCTGTTCATGACGGATCCGCCCCCATCTGACCCGAACACCTTACACCGAGCCCCACCTCCCATCACCACCACCCGGGGATCACATTTCAACATGAGTTTTGATGGGGACAAACAAACCATAGCACCCCCATCTCCATGAATGGCTTAACCACTCACCCTGGGCTAGGAATCTTTTTCTCATTTCTCTCTCCTTCCATCAGCCAACCTGCTAGATCAAATCATGTCGAGTCTGACTCCACAACATCGCCCAGGCCCATCCTGTCCATCTGGCTTCCACCTCCCTCTCTCCAGTCCAGCCACCAGTTCTTCCTGTGAAGATTTTCACAGTGGTCCCCTAATTGATTTCCCTGCCTCCAGGTAATCCTCAGTCTAAGTTTGACTTTCATTAAAAAGTTCATGTGAGGTCGGGCGCGATGGCTTAGGCCTGTAATCCTAGCACTCTGGGAGGCTAAAGGGGGAAGGATCGCTCAAGGTCAGGAGTTCGAGACCAGCCTCAGCAACAGAGAGACTCCGTTTCCACCAAAAATAGAAAGAAATTAATTGGCCAACTAAAAATATATAGAAAAAATTAGCCGGGCATGGTGGCGCATGCCTGTAGTCCCAGCTACTCAGGAGGCTGAGGCAGCAGGATCGCTTGAGCCTAGGAGTTTGAGGTTGCTATGAGCTAGGCTGATGCCATAGCACTCTAGCCCGGGCAACAGAGAAGTGAGACTCTGTCTCAAAAAAAAAAAAAAAAAAAAAAAATTCATGTAACTTTTCTATTACAAAAAAAAACTTTCATACTTAACAAAAAAAGTCCAGGCTCCTTGATGTGGCTCTGAACATCCCCTTAATAGGCCCCAACTTGACTTCCCTGCCCCATGAACCCCGTGCATATCAAGATTGAGTTGCCTGCCCACGCCCACCCTCCCCACGTGCGGTCTCATCCTGCAAACCAGCCAGTCTTCTTACTGCAAGAGACCTGTCCCTGGCGCCATGGCGTTGGCCTGGGGTGATGTACGTTTGGGGGATTACTGTATGGTTCACATGCATTTGGATGGAGACCCCCCCTTCCCTATTAATCAGTGAGTTTTCCCAGGGTGAGTTAGTGCATCTTCCTTCTGCTGTTTTTCTCTGTACTTGGCACCGTTCCGCTGCTCTCAGCAACTGTGCCTCTGCTTGTCAGCTGGGGAGGGCTGCTGCTCAGGATCTAGAAGACCGTGGCGCTCACGTGGGGCGGCAGGCTGCTCGGGAGAAAGGTCCCGGGTCTGCCACCCAAGAGACGGGCTCCAGACTGAACGACGTCATTTCTTACGGCTACGACTTAGGGCAAATTCCTTGCCCGTGCCGAACCTCAGCTTCCTCAGCAATAAATCAGAAAAATCGTCACTAAGAGTAAGTGACTTAATGTGTACAAGAGTGTGTGGACCCAGAGGCTCGCAAATATGGGTTGGATTCATTGCGCTGCCCCTGCCGAGCCCAGCTCTGTTTTGTGTTTTCATTTTTGTTTTATAACCTGGGGAAAATATGATAATCCAAAACTTTGTGGTAGAATGAAAAACACTTTTAGAATCTTTCAAAAAAAAATCTTTGAGGGGACAAAATGAGTAGCTAACATAGAAAGGTGGTCAGTGCTATAAAACTGTCATTACAGCGCTTATGACATCGTATTGTAATGCAGGCAGTCTCCAGGTTACGACCTGATTTACGGCAGTAGGCCCTTATGAAGGGGCTCCCAACGCTCCCCATAAGGATAACTCATAATCAGATAATTAAATTACCGGTGCTGGGGCTAGCTTCTTTCTCGCATGTAAACAAACCCGCGTGGCCTATGCGGTTGGTCGCACACCGTCTCTACGCCAGCTGCGGCTGGTCTCAGAGAAGGATCGAGAAGCAGCTGATGGAAGCACAACTGCACAAAGCATCAGAAGATCCAGAGCCAAGAAAGTTCACGATGAAAGAAAGAGCTGAAGCTTTCGTCTCATTCGAGCAGGGTTTGCTAAGCTCGAGGAGCAAGATCCTAACGTTGCGCGGTTTACAAAGGTTGACCGTGCGGCTACTGAGAACATCAGCGGCTACGAGGCCATTTATGATGAAAAAAAGAAAAGGGCTGTGCAAACAACCCTAGACACCTTTTTCAAGAAAGCGACTTCAGTGGTCAGCTCCCTCCTCCAGCAACAGAACCAAATCCTGACTCTCCGGCACCGTCTCCATCATCGCCTTCCCATTAATGTCAGCCTGACTTCAAAAATGCCCCTGCCAGCAAGCGGGACGTTGGTGCAACCTTATGTAAGTGTTAACCTTTAATAATCTTTTTTGCAATTTCTCCTATCTCCTATCTAAAGTTTTTGTTTGAGTCTGTTTTTCTTTTCTGTTTGTTTGAATTAAAAGAAAGAGTACAATAGTTTCTGTAACTTATTATTACAGGACAGGGTTATTATTATCGTTACAGCATTACACGGTGTTATTACCACATATGAGCCATTATAGTATTGTTATTATTATCATTACCGTATATGCGCTGTTCATCCAGGATCCGAGTTACATGCAAATCCAACCTAAAGATGTTCTCAGGAACCTATCTCCTCTGTGACCTGGGACCGCCCGTGATTTATGGTCTCTCCCCTGTGAACTTCTCAAGGGAAATGACTGTGACCTTTTATCCTTGGCACCGACTACAGTTCTTGGCATGGCATAATTCACATATGTGTATTATCTATTTGGAGAACAATTCGCAATATCTTTCACAAATTGCATATACCCTTTCACCTAAATATTCCGTTTCTACGAATTTATCTTATAGATAAGCTTGCGCAAGTGTGCAAGTAGATAAGTACCCATAAAAAATGTGGTTTGTGGTATCGTTTGTAATAGCAAACCCAACCGCACCAACCAGCCAACAAAAAATACTTTAAATTAGAGATCCAGTTAAATAAATAGGTGCACACCAAGGAATACTATGTAATGATACAAACTATGCAGTAGATATCTCAGTAGTGGTGTGGAAAAGTGTCTAATAATGTATTGTTAAATGAAAGAAGCCAGCTGCATGGTGCACATATATATATGTATACATCATACATATACACACACAAGCACACAAGCTTGTATATGCAAGATTTACTTCCTGAGGGATATACAGGAAAGTGTTTCTAGTGGTTCCCTCTCTAGAGGTGGCACTAAGGAATCAGAAAGAGGAGGAATGACTTCCACGTTCACTGCTTATCCTCCAGCACATTTGCAACTTTTTACCATAAGCAGGAATTAATTTTGAAAAATAAAATTTGAATAATAAAATAAGCAAGTAAATATCTGCTGAGTAATCCCGCTTTGGGCTCCTCTGGGCAGACTTTGTTTATTTGAACATTCATTTCCATCAGCGTGGATAAAGAAAGTGATATATGTGTAGGCTCTTTCCTTTTCCCTTGATGTACCCTGGAAGACCATAAGGCACAATTTAGGGAACACTCAGTTGCACAGCAGGAGTCTCTGGTGGTTTATCAATGTCGCTAAGAGCTCGGATGCATTTATAACCCCACCCGTTAAGTGTTGATGGTGGCTTGTTCCCTGTGATCAATTACCAGCTGGGCCTTATACTCCGTTAGGGGAAAGCGCATCCTCACCAGGACAAAAGGGGGCGTGGAGAAAACCAGCTTTGCTGATTGTTTCTGCAGGCTTCGCCCTCTTTCCCTGGAAGCCATGTGGCTGCCTGAACAGTTGTCCCGGAGCTGGCACTGCCTAAAGGAGAGGTATCTATAGCAGCAAGTGGTGGTGATTAATTTTAAGCTGTCATGGAAAATGTTTTTGCACTTTAATGTCAGAGAACTGTATTATTATTATAGGTCTAATGTTCCCTTGCCAAAGCTAGTGTGTTTGCTCCCAGGATACAAAGTGAATACAGAAAGCTTTCTGGTTGGCTCCCAGGAGCATCTTTTGGAGAAAGGACAAAAGGAAGGCTGCCAAGTCAGCCACATCCCACTGGAGCCGTCAGCAGGGGAGGGCGCGGCAGGCCCTCCCCCACCTCCGCCCTCCCTGCCCCAGGCTGGAGGGAGAAGCCCTGGCCACTCACTCCCCTCTGCCCTGACCGTTGTCCAGCTGAATCCCAGATCACGCTCTTGGCCATCTAGCCCACAAGGTCTCCTGGTAACCCGGGAGAAGGAAAGGATAGACGCACAAGATCCACTGGAGAGAAAAGAAGTCGCTGGCTGCAGAAGCAGGCGGAGAAGAACATGCGGCCAAGGACAAGGAGCACACAGAGGTCCTTAAGCTCCAGGCCATCTGGGCCTGAGTCAGAAACAACTGCATACCCACTCCCATGCCTACTACCACTGCTCACACCCCGCTACACACACGGAGAGAGAGAGGGAGAGAAGGAGGAAGAGAGAGACAAGAACTGACTGGCTCTTGCATTTCAATCCAATATTTATTTCTTGCATAATCCGCCAGCAAATGAGATCAAAGAGCTGTCAGGTTTTTTTTAAATCATGCAATTCATTAAGGGAACAAACTTTGAATATACTTAGTCTAAAATAACAGTTACTAAGAGGCAGGGTTGATTTATGTAGATAGAACAGATCTAGGAACTAGAACAGAGTACAAAAGACAGAGAATCAGAACGCGTACTTCATGACACTAGATAAAACCTTTTTTTAAAAAACCTTCAGTAAGGTAATCATATTAATAACCACAACCCCTATGTAGTGAGAGCTACCCTCTGCCAGGTCAGGCACCTTACGGAGTGTTTATGTGTAATCCTACCACTTGGTAAATATGGTTATTTTCATTTTCCAGATGAGAAATCTGAGAATTGGAGAACTTGCTAAAGGCACACTGCAAGTAAACAGTAAGGACCGTGCAGTCTGTCTGCCCGCCTGCCTGTGTGTCTGTCTGCTGGACCAGGCTCTGTGGTCCGCACTGTCAAGAGGAAAACAGGGAGTGGACAAACAGTACATGTTAAAAAAATTTCTGAGGCCGGGCGCTGTGGCTCACGCCTGTAATCCTAGCTCTTGGGAGGCCGAGGCGGGCGGATTGCTCAAGGTCAGGAGTTCAAAACGCACAACGCAGCCTGAGCAAAGAGCAACGACCACGTCTCTACTGATACAAAATGAGAAAGAACATTATTGGGCGCAACCTAATAATCATATCAATAGTATTAAAGCCCAACAAAAAAGAATTAGCGCCGGCTCGGTGGCGCATGCCTGGAGTCAGCTGCACTCGGGAGGGCTGAGGCCCAGAAGGATTGGCTTGGACCCAGCGAGTTTGAGATAGCTGTGACGCTAGGCCTGCACGAGCGCCGACGGCCACTCACGTCAGCTGTGCGCAACCCAAAGTGAGCACTCGTCTCAAAAAAAAAAAAAAAAAATTCTTCTCACACACTAATTGGGGGAGGCGCCGAGGGCGTGCCCTCAGCGCCTGTTATCCTAGCACTCTGGCGAGGGCCGATGCGGCGGCATCTGGCTCAAGGTCAGGAGTACAGTACACAAAAAACCCCATGAGCAAGAGCGAGACACAAGGACGGTACTCTCTTCTATAAATAAGAAAAGAATTAATTCGGCCCAACTAATATAATAGTAGGCTATACATCATATAGCGTACTGTATACTACTCTATACTGCCTGTATATACGTAACATGAGTATCATATACATACTATAGTCAGTATCCGTACGTTAAGAATTAGCGCGCGGACGCGTGTGGCGGGCGCATGGCTGTAGTCCCAGCTACTTGGGAGGGCCTGAGGCAGGAGGCATCGCTTGAGCCCCAGGAGCATTGAGGCGTTTGCCTGTGAGCTAGGCTGATGCCACGCGGGCACTGCCACTCTAGCGCCTGGGAAACCGCAAAGTGACGACTCTGTCTCAAAAATAATAACAAAACAAACAAAAAACTAATATTTCGCTACATCATTCTACCAGGGTACATATGAATATTTTGTTACATGCATTGAAGGCTAAGATCAGAGTATTTGGGGTACCCATCACCCTCAAGTATTTACATTGATTCGTGGGGGTGTTAGGAACGATTTTCAACACCCCCTCTCTTCTACATATTTGAGATTATCCATGGAAGTACACACCCCGTTACGGCTAACTGTAGCCACCTGACCTCTGTTATCAACAGCATGTAAAATTTGATCATTTCTAACCTGTATAGTATACAGCCCCTTACCCAACCTCTCTCATCCCATCTTCAAACAACACCACCCGTCGCTTCCGCAGCCTCTGGTGTCGTGCATTCTACTCTCCACTCTGCACTTCACTTTTTTTAGCCTCCCCCACCCATATGCGTCGAGAAACGTGGCGATACTGCGCGCGCGATTTCATCTTAAATGATGAACCTCCAGTTCCACCCCATGGAGGTTGCTGCAAATGACATGATTTTCTGTTTATTTTATAGGCCCAAATACGTATTCCGTTGGTACTTACCCCCACATTTTCTTCTATCCTTTTGTCAGTTGATGGAGCGAGCGAGCGAGGGTGTACGTCCCGTACACCGTTCTGCGAGTGCGTCGCAATGTCTGCCACCAATAACCCAGGGGTGCTGGCAGGTTAACCCTTTGAGTACTGATTTCTTTTCCTTCGGCATAACATCCCCAGTAGCTGAGATTCGCGGCTGGGACTGCATAATGGGAGAGTTTCTATTTTTACTTTTACTGGAGAAGATTCTATACTGTTCTCGCATAGTGGCTTCTCCTGATATCGGCGATTCTCCACGCAGAATGGTATACCAGAATTCCTTTTCTCTCGCGCATCCTCACTAGCATCCATTATTTTTTGTCTTATCTGTTCATGATCAACACCGATTCTAACTGGGCGGTGAGATGATATCTGCTTGTGGCTGTTGTTTTTTTTTGTTTTTTTTTTTTTTTGACCGCCCATTTTTAAAAGTTTTGAGTCCTTGGTGGTTTTGAATTTGCATTTCTCTTTTTCCTATTTTGTCTTTTGATTTTTTTTTTTTTTTTTTTTGGAGACACGCCTGGCTCAACAGGCAACCTCAAACCCCTGGGGCTCCAGCGATCCCCTTCTGGCCTCAGCCTCCCAAGTAGCGTTGGGACTACACAGGCACCGCACGCCACATGGCCCGGCTAATTGTTTTTTTGTTTTATACTATACTATGCCAGTTTGGCCAAGTTAATTCTTTCTATTTATAGTAGAGACGGGTCTCCGGGCCTGCTCAGGATGGTTTTGAACCTCCGCTGACCCCTTGAGCAACATCCGCCCCCCTCGGGCTCCCAGCAGCAGCTAGATTAGCGGGGCAAACAGAGGCCACGGCGGACGCGCCTGCAACAGACTA